TGTTCCCAACTGAAATAAATTCTCATTAGAATAGAGTTCAACTGATCACAGATCAATAACTCAGAATTAGTGATTAACACGTCATACGGAAAGCAAAAAATGCAATCAATTCAAATCATCAATAAGCCTTTTGACTACAGCAGGGACTCACTATTTCACTGCTTCTGAGTAATCTCCTTTACGCGCATAAGTTCGACCGATGTTATCCAGTGCTCTTGCTTTTCCCTCTTCTGATTTTCTGAAATATTTATGATGATTAGTCTCACAGGACAAGCAGTGATATAAATAGTGAAAAGGGGTTCAAAATTTAGATTATTCTTTAATGATAAACATATTTATATTATAGGCACCAACTCACATAGAATTGCTGATGGTTAGATCTTCTTTATGCTCTTTTAAAGCAGGATCTAAAGACCCCATTTCTAACAGAGCACATCCAATACTGGAATGTAGATTAGCGACGAATTCCTTTTTATTAGGCAGATTATCAATTTGCTTGACTTTCTTAAGACATGCTCTGGCTAGTTGTAAACTATCCGATGCTTTTCCGTCCGCTAACGCTGAAAATATATTATGTTTACTATGGCAACGGGTGAGAAGCTTTGTTTACAGGCTACTTTTCGTTGCTATGGAGATGTCAAAAGTGCGTGGTTTAATAGCGCGCGCATTTACTGCGCGTTATACAGAATAATGACAATTTTTGCTTTCGATGGTAGAATATCGTTTCTCGAAGACCGTTTCAGGGCTGCGACAGGCAAGCATGTGTTAAACAAGGGCACAATCCAAGAAGCCGACACAGCTCTATAAACTTCACCGATCATGTAACGACCGATACATATAAAGGTATAAATTATAATGCCCAACGTTATAGTGCTCTTGAATAGCGATACTAAATCTACCTCGTTATATACATGTATATATATATCATACCTGCATCAATATCGTCGAGGTTCCGTAACACGTAATTTGTTGGATCACTTCCGATCGTGTGAGTTGGTTAAGGAATTTAACAGTTATTGCGGTTAATGATAACGTTAGCAACACAGATGTATTTCCCTTTGAGGTGAAAATGCATTCGTCGGTGAACAGATGCAACAGTACAATGCACATGAATCTACCGGACTAAATTAAAGTTTGGGTAATGGACTCGGGGTTTCTTACAAATGACATGAGGCCAAAAGTTGTGAATGATAAAAACCAAAACAAGTGATAAGTAGCAATAGGGTAACAGTTTAAATGGGTTAAAGTTGACATGAAAGTACCGTGAAATAGAGAAATATCACCATAAAAAGTCAAAAGTGTGTGATGGACATGAAATGTGGGCACAATGAGTTTGACAATGATGTGCACTATTCTGCACACTACAACAGGAGTAGTTAAAATCTCGATTGAATGAGGATAGAAATCTCAACTATTTAAGTGAAGTCAGCCTCTATCAGTAACGACAGAAGGCTCTGTGAGAACTTCAAGTTCTGACGTGCGACATGAATCTGCAAATGTGTCTAATGTGTAATCTCGCTCCAATTTTGGAGTATCAAAAGGATATCCCTTAATAAGTCGATTTCTGTTTCCCTGGTCTATCCTCTTCTTTTTACGAGAGTAAAGCGGTTGTTGCTGCCTCCAGAAGTCGAGCCTGGAGTCGAGATAGTTGATACCATTGGACACTAAGCTCTTGATGGTGTTGTCTGATTGCTTTGTGGCACCTCCGGATAGAACTTGGGTTTCAGCATTAATATTTTGTTATCTTAAACAGGTAGTATTTCAATCAAATCAAGAGGTTTTTAATATAAATAGTAGGGACCGTTCACATAGAACAGAAGCACTTTTGTTATCATTTTCATCCTCCCTACACCAGCAGTCAGCACGTTTGCACATGGCTGTTCATTAACGAATACAACGAGTACAATAAGCATATTAAAAACCCCTCCTCCCCTGGTCCACGGAGCTAAAGTTATATGTTAACTTCCCCATACAACTTGGTTCATTATTATGTAACTCACGGGAATCGTTCAGTAGTTTCTCTAAGTATTCTCTGTCTTCGTATAGTTCTCCGAGAAGCTGAAAAATTAAAATATCATACCTGTTTAATTGAAAGATTGGAATTTAAAGACAAAATTCATAAGTGTGGGCGACATGATGGCCACAGATCAGTCCAAATTTGAACGAAAATATTAGGCCGCAACCTATTAAAAAGATGAAAAACTATTAATCAGTGACCAACCGAATTACTGGATTTTGCTGATGGTTTGAAAATATAATAACCTGTTTTACAGTTTTATCTCCAGCCAGTGACTTGGTGTTCTCTTTCTCATTATTGACTTTAGAAGAGAAAGGAGCACGAGGTTGGGGCTTCTTTCTAGCGGCAGGTTTGCCTTTCTTTCCCGCCTTTTCATCTAGATACTTGTAGAAGTATGACAGGTCTCCTTTAGACGTTAACTTCACGGTGTTCGGATCTGAAAAAGGAGACTTATTAGTCCATTATTTAATCCTTTTTTAATGAGTCAATATTACCATAATATTACCATATAATATTACCATATTAAGGCCACGCAATAGCGATATGAATTTACGAATTATCAGTCTACTTCTTCAATGCCGAAAGTAATTTGACTCTATGGAGTATGGATTATAGAAACTTACTTCCAATGGAATTGTCGATGGCTTCCCTTGCTTTCTGAATTCCCAATCTGAACTCGTTCAGCTCTGGTCTCAGCTTATTCCCGCGATGGTAGTGAACCAGAGCAAACTCAAAATCTCCCATCGCATATAAAGCTTCAGCTTTCTGGAATAACCCTTTGGTAAAGTCATTCGTATCTTTGAGGCATGATTCAGCATCTTTAAGAGCGGAATCAGCATCACCTAATTTCAGGTGACATTTTGACCTGAGGGAAGATAAGTTATTTAAAATCAACACGTTGCTGAAGCAGTAAATATCCCACAAAAATATTCTAATGAAAAACGGATAAATCCTAGTGCTATCATTACCGTTTTATTTTTCTGGACGATAATTTTACAAAAATATCCACCAAGTAAATTAATTTAACCTTGCAACAAGGCAGTTCTTATCATCAGGTTGGATATCCAAAGCAATGGAGTACGCGTTGATAGCCTTGACAAAATCTCCCTGTTTAGCAAGTGCGTCTCCTTCTGCTAAATAAATAGAAAACGAGCACTTTGGTCCCTCCTCTTCCTCCACGCTATACGCCATGATAGTCTGTGTGTGTGAAATGTACAGGTCAGTTGCAGTGTTTATTGTCATATATAGTGTGCACAATTAGATGAGAATTGTGGATATATATTCAACTTCACGCATATTTCATAGACCGTCTTGAATACTGCGTCACACAATATTCAGGGTTTTATTTCGAAGTAATTAGTATGTATGTACTTGGAAATTGCAATGAGTTAGGGAAACTTAAATCTGGATAAAAAGTAGAACTACAGCGTAAAATAAAGATCCAAAAGCTATTAAAATCTTTAACATCAATTAATTTACAAAAATCACAGCAACTCATAAATTACTAAACAAATATAAAACAACTTAACATCATATTCTTCATTCTTCTATATTCTAGATCAGTATAACAGTTTTGGCGTTTTGCGCAATATTCTCTACATCATTAGAAAAAAAACGGATATTAGATATTGCAACCCAGAGATACTGTAAATATCATACAAGTTGGAGTTGGCAATATTACGATATTTTCATGCAGAATGTATTTGCACAGTATTTTAAAGCGTAACATTGCACCGTAGCATGACAATCTTAACAATAAAATCTCACCACGTGACCAATAAACTGTCACGTTGGACCGATTTTAAACATGCAATAAACGCTGTCATGGTAACTGTCTTGGAAATGTTGTGAGACAAGCTGTTTTGAAAAGCTCAAATTTAAAAGCACTCTCCGAGGGTAACTAGAGATGTTTTGAATTTTGGCCGAACTTTCACCAAAATTATAAAAACGAGCGCAAAATACTCGGATATTCACAATTTGATGATTGCCCACATTTAAAAACCGCAGCATTTCAAATATTTTTCTCGTCCATGGAAGTGTTAAGACTTTGATTGCGGTACATACCACTCTTATTCAAATGTTCCGAGAACTTACTGGAGATGCCGTGGAATGTTTGAGGAGTTGTTTGATGACAAGGACCCAAACTACCGTACTTGTTGCTACTTGTACGGTACATGGGGTGCTGCTCCATTTCCGGGTACCCTTTCACTACATCCTTCAGGTTCCCTTCCACCTCATTGTACTTGGAGTTGAGGTTGACGTTCTCTACCTTGGCACAGGTGTAAACAGAGTTTCCAGGGTTGTGCACCGTTTCGTACTGAGACATGTCCATGATCTGCTACAGGAGGGTAAGATTATTACACAATTAGTCATTTTACTGCGGTTAACATGAGTTTGTCCCAATTACATAACTGTGCTATATATTTTCTCGGATTTCAGTCTTCTGATCTATTCAAATTTGCATCATTGAATCACGATTTTTAGTCGTTGCAACCCCTCTAAACATTAGAAACTTTAAACAAAATAAAAAAAGAGCAATATAGATCCCAAAAAAGTAAAATGATTAACAAGAATTCAAGATAAAGGGGTGTATAAAATGAGTTTAGTAAAATAACATCCAACAAAACATTTTAAAACCCGAAAAATCAATCGAAAAAATAATTGATTATTGTAAAAGTAATTGGTTTAGATCATGGAAAGGGTCACGCAATCTAAAACGATATAAATAAATTGTAAATTCTAACAATTATTACACGCTTCGACTTAAAAAATATACCCAAAGAAGATGTACATGGTCATTCAAGCGAGACTTAGCATGGAAATAATAAAATCATGCACTTTTAAATCGGTTCAGATTTTATGGACAAATATCAAGAATATCATCAAAAGCTAAGGGAAATAAATTGCTTTTGGAGAACTTTTAAAACATTCTCAATTTGATAATGCACATTATAACCCATAACTGCATTTAAACATCTGCACTATGCAGCACCATAAAATGATTGTGTCCAGTAAAGAAAGACAGTTATTAAAATTACTTATTGTTAACCAATCAGATAAAAATATGAATAATCAATGAACCCTGCTTTTAACCAAGATAATTTTATCCCCGGGCTTCACGTGACCAGTCTGCTTTACAGCGAAATAGCTCCCGAACACAGGTTTATTAGTTTTCTCACATCGTGGTCGCAGTTTCCTCAGATTATTCATGGTATCCGGAGCCCTTACACCGTCGAAATTCACGTTAGTAATAAGACAGCGAGTTGTCCTATGATCGAACTCCAAGACGGTGTCTCCTATTTTTATTTCCTGCCACGTCTCATCCTCATATGCGCCTTGTCCGACTGACACAATGTTGGGTCTAAATCTCTCCATCTCGACATCCCAGCCAGCATCTTTGCTAAAAGCTATGAGGGACGATTCCCCGATTATATGAACGGGGTCAAGACTTGCGATAATCATGTCTTCACCAGAGAGTGTCTTCTGTGGAGAAAACATGAGACGAACCTCTTTACCCAGGACATCAGATATCCACCTACTTGCTTTGTCGCCAACATGGCAATATTCGTTATCTTTAGGATCTTTCTCCACTTCGTAGTTCTCAACAATTTCAAATTCAGTCAAATCAATAATAAGATTAGATTGATCCTTGTGGGTCAGAAGTAATTTTGTGGAATCGTCAATCAGACTCAAATTGATAGCAAACAAAGCCTCGTGTCCATTAGCAGTATGTTTCAATCTCTCATTAGACCCCTTGAACAACAAACACATACCTTTATCATATAAGAAACCATTAGGGCCGAGTTTCCAGGGTCCGGTTATCTTAACGGGTCTAAGAGCTCTAATAGGATGAACAAATAGTTCAGAAACTTCTCCCACTTCCCGTTCTCCCTCCTTGAAGAAAGGACTCGTCAGACAGGACCACACGGTTAGTGAGCCTCTCATCGCTAGAAAGGGAACCCAGTAGTATCGAGCTAGTATATCATTGACGACGTCCAAGTAGCCACTCATATAAACCCCTATCAGAGATAATAGTATTAGATATGGCAATAGTTGGTAATTTAAATCTATATAATGAAATCGTCATATCGAAGCAGATAAAACTGTAGTTGAAATTAATTGAATAATAGTTCTTTATCGAATATATATTATTCTTCTTCATCTGGTCGTTAAATCAATGAAACAGCTTGCGTTTAACTATTTTTCAGTATGTACAAGTAAAATCAACACTAAAATTGTATAACATCATCGCACAGCACAGCAGCAACGAAATGCATTTACTCAATTCATGCAGATCTTTTCATTATTCATAAGTAAAGTATCAGGAAAATATTTACCTCGAAAACGGACAATTGGATATATTATAATATGGTAAGTGGGTTTTCATACCAAAAACTGTGAAACTGGCGTGACATAATACAGTAGTTCATAAAAAAACTTCATAATAGCAAACCAATTGGGGAAATCTAAAGTCTTTTCAGATAACGTACACACTTCGCGTTGGAAAAACAGTCTGAGGCAAAATCCATCTGTCTTATCTTGAGCCATACCCAGCAATCGCTCAAGCTATTCATTCACGAAGTGCAGCATTGGAAATGGAAACATCAAGTTTGAGTTAAATGAAAGTCCGGATAGTGCTGTGGGAGTATTCTATTGGGCAGCATTAGCTTTCATCTTGTTCTGGACTGGAAGATATAGTTTGAACTCAGCTGGCAGCTCATCCTCGGAGTAGAGACGGTCAGAGAAGTACACTCTCCTGATTCTGCAGTTGGCGTGGATTTGCACTCGCAGGGTCTCGATGTAGTTGGTACCGTATGCTCGTCGTGTGAAGTCAGACAAGTTGAACTGGATCTGGTTCCATCCATCGTCGAGTCTCATGGGCATGGTACAAATGAAGGGCTTCACTCTGGTAGTCGACTGGTAGTTTGAAGCTCGGAACCTTCTTCTGACGTTCTTGTCATCCAAAACTTGGACCTCGAAGGTGAAGTATTTCTTCATGTTTTTGATGATCATTACCAGGAAGGGGAGTTTGATTCCAAGGGTGTTCTTTGGGTCAGCAGGACAAGTGATGTAGGTTGTACTCACATTTGTACCAACAATTTCTAAAACTAGAGACTGGATGTCATTATCTGTTATCCTCTTGATGTGACCATTACGTACTTTCTTGTCCCAAATTTGAAGAGGCTTGCTACCTATACTGTAGAGAATGGACAGGAATCCTGACTGGAATGTGTTCTTGAACATGGTTGCGTTACCTAAAGATTGAAGTAGATATATTAGTTGAATAGGTACGGTCTAATGTTAATTGAGAAAGAAATCATCTACTTTCCGTCGCGTGGGGAACATAACTATGGAATTAATACACAAATCATATAATGGGAATAGGGTTGTGTTAACAAGGATTCGACTATCATCAAAATATAGCATGGAAACGAGGATATCATCTCTATTATAAATCGAAGTTCGAATAGTTAATTTGGAGGTCAAACTTTAAAGATGCATTGGAAAAGTTTTAAATGTTTAATTTTGATATAATATTTATTATAATCCTAAAAAGAAAATTAAAGCCATGTAATACTTGGCAAATCTATATTATGCTAAGGAGTAATGGAGGTACACGCTGGGCAACGTAGTCCAAGCAAGTAAGAAGAAAATCAACATTATTTCTGCTGCTATGAGAGTCAAACCCCAACAGACCCTATATTTGCAATTTTGATATGCGATAGTTTTACAAATTTTGCAGAGATTGATCAGCGCATGGGAAGCATTCAATCATGCAATTGTGATTAGGCGCGAACTTAGCACTGCAAGACCCTAAAAGAGGCAACTAACAGAATCAATTCGGTGTCAAGTAAACATACAATTTTCGAACACTCCTATCATCTCCTGAAAAACAAACGAATGATCATCGGCAAGAAAATTCTTAAGTTGGTAAAAGTTTACCGACTTAACTGTATGATTCTAGAGTCGAGAAATTGAGCTTTAATTAGAACCACACTGAAAATATCCGGATATAAACAAATACCAAATAAACTTTTTAAACAGGAATGATATCATGAGTGATACATACAGAAGTTACGGAGTAGCGAAATGCCCAGTGGCGGGTGTCTACAGCAGACTGAAATATTTCACCACGGTGATAGGAAAAACATGGCAACCGAATTACTCCGCAAACGTTCGCGCACAGATCGAAATATTGATAAATTTTGCGCGCGGCGTAAATTCACTATATACTTAAAATACAGTCGCCACATCTTCTAAACTAAATCACTGAGCCAAATATTTATCCACACAAATCTATCATGCTTTCACAATAAAACTATATATACAGTGAAAATTCATCAATTTTTTAGTCAACATAAAGTTTAACTGTTTTTACAATTTATGTAATAAAACTAGTTTATACCATTTTGTTTGCTGTTCTCGCCAGTGCAACAAGTTTAGAAAACTAATAAAAATGAAAAAAAGCGCCACGCATAAAAATAACGTGCCAGGTAAATAAATGCATCAATATTATAATATTCATAATGCAGTTGTTAAATTGTTGTTATCGGGTGAATACTCGTAAAATATTTTTTCGAATATTAATTAAACTGTCCCCAGAAACTCTTACTGGATGGAACCTAACTTTGAAAGTAAAAGAGTTAGAGTTTTTTTGATACATGTTACGTATTCGGCGGCGAAAAGTGGCATGTAATGCAACGTATGACGTATCAAAAGATTTCCGGTTTTTTGCAACATGTACGTCTTGTAAAAGTAACGTTTCCCTCCAGGGGGAACATTTAAAACAACGTAAATTTGGAGTTATCTACAAATCTCCAGAAAAGTGTCATTTTGGGCCGATCAAAAGTTTGCAACTTTAACTTTGCAGATTCCTAGTGTACTCTGATTGGCTGAATTGTGTCACGTGCTGGCTGCTTTAAGATTGGAATGCGCCATGACGCGTGCAAATCACTTACCTGGGGACCCCAGGCTAATATGTTCATTTCACATAGCCATGTGCCTACGCGTACTGCGTGACGCGCTTGTTTCACAAGTAGGATAGGCACATACAGATCAGCACACATAAGATGGTACGTGTGCGCGCGCGCAGTGCTGACAGTTGCGTCGTATTTAACCCCGGGTGCACGTACATCGTGTGCGATTATTTATACTTATCGAAGGCTATAAATGCCTCTTGTTTATTTTAATTTGGTATTGTTCACTTTTAGACGATAAAATACAGGAATTGCGGTATAATAATACGAATAATTAAGATTGTACGATCACAATACATCACGAAACAGTATCAACTACCTCGCTACTTATCAACTTACACTATGTACTATGCGACAAAGATACACAATGCAATATTTATATACTTATAGAATAAACGAAACACAGTATTCAGTATTTACTAGCACTACCCCGCTACTAGTAGTAGTACTACAACTTAATGCGACAAAGGTCAAAGATATTGTATAAAATATAACTAAATAAACAATACGGTGCCCATGCCTGAGCTTTATAAAACTGGAAACACTTCTCAGATTAATTATTTTGCTTCTCAAAAACAATTACAAACTAACAATTTTCGACGTTAAACAGCTACATTAAACATTAACATTACACTTCACAATCCGAAAGAAAGGGGCTCGTCGCTGCAGGCCTGACTTTGACTTCATCCTGAAAAAGTACATGTCATTTAGGTACCGCGACAATTGTGAATTGACCCCCCGACAATTGACCCCCTATGTAATTACACTGGGGTCAATTGTCGCGAAATCTAGGGTTTAGTACGACAATTGGCCCCCCGAAAATTGACCCCCTACCTATGTAATTAAACTAGGGTCAATTGTCGCGAAATCTAGGACTTAGTACGACAATTGACCCCCATGTAATTACACTGGGTCAATTGATCGGGTTAGGGTCAGGGTCAGGGTCAGGGTCAGAGTCAGTGGTCAGGGTCAGGGTCCTGGATCAGGGTCAGGGTCAGGGTCAGGGTCAGGGTTAGGCCTAGGGTTAGGGTCCTGGGTCAGGGTCAGGGTCAGGGTCAGGGTCAGGGTCAGGGTCAGGGTCAGGGTCAGGGTCAGGGTCAGGGTCAGGGTCAGGGTCAGGGTCAAGGTCAGGGTCCTGGATCAGGGTCAGGGTCAGGGTCAGGGTCAGGGTCAGGGTCAGGGTCAGGGTTAATTGTATTAAATTATATTGTCGGGGGGTTAATTGTCGGGGGGTAAATTGTCGCCCACCCGTCATTTAATGTAATTACATAATACAATATAATACATAATACAATGTAAATGTTGCTGTTACAAAATGTATAGCTGAAGGCAGATCTGGGAGGGTCTGGGCACAATATTATATTGCTATTATATTATCATCTGCACACTTATACTTTAACTTAGCTTAAACTAATTACAACACTACAAATCCATTACATTTATTGAGGATATGAGTATGACGTAGTTATGTCGATACGTTATTCAACTATTTATTTCTATTAGAATCTGTCTTCACTAAGTCTATTTAGAGACAATCAGAAATTTGAATCATTTATCAAGACATTATACTTATACATCACAAAACCTCCGACTTGATTTACAACTTAACTTCACAAACACTAATCATATAATACAAACTTACTCTGTCGGTTATCATACTATAATTCAAGGCAACATTAGCGTCCGTGAATTGATCTCTGCAGGAGCCCTCCCTTACTAAAACTTGTGTCTTCATCTGCCGTATTACTTGGGAATATCGCCGGTCTCAGCTTCAAACATAAAGGTATGATATTCAATAGACGCCGCTCTGCAAACGTCACCTGAAAAGGGATAAGTAGATAGAGCTCCTTATAATCCCTGACTACGACAGGGAGCTGAAGGCAGATCTGGGAGGGTCTGGGCACAATATTATATTGCTATATTATCATCTGCACACTTATTCTTAGTTTTAAACTAATTACAACACTACAAATCCATTACATTTATTGAGGATATGAGTATGACGTAGTTATGTCGATACGTTATTCAACTATTTATTTCTATTAGAATCTGTCTTCACTAAGTCTATTTAGAGACAATCAGAAATTTGAATCATTTATCAAGACATTATACTTATACATCACAAAACCTCCGACTTGATTTACAACTTAACTTCACAAACACTAATCATATAATACAAACTTACTCTGTCGGTTATCATACTATAATTCAAGGCAACATTAGCGTCCGTGAATTGATCTCTGCAGGAGCCCTCCCTTACTAAAACTTGTGTCTTCATCTGCCGTATTACTTGGGAATATCGCCGGTCTCAGCTTCAAACATAAAGGTATGATATTCAATAGACGCCGCTCTGCAAACGTCACCTTATCACCTACCTGAAACAGATTTTAAGATAAGCAACTAAATAAAGATTCGTTGAGATTCTGAGTTTCTGCCCTGACGGCTAACCAAATAAAATTTGGTCGGACAGACTCATCTCGCATATTAGGAAAAGCAGCTGAGGTTTAAGATATTTACCTTCTTTCAGATTTCTTTTTTAGACTGAACTAAACTTTAAACGATAACCTCTGAATGATCTGAACAACTAACTTTAAGGACATCGATCCTAAGAAATGGCCGTTTTTAAAAGCTTTAAAAAATTTCAAAGGGTCTACACAATGTCAATAACGCGCGGCCGGCTGGCGCTAGATATTGTAAAAGGCTTACGATTTTTTCCTTTATTCATCAGAAAGTCAATGTGGCAGACATAAAGAGCTAAAACTCTGTCAAAGCTTCTAGATCAATCTTTCGATACTGTTTAGGCGGGAACTACAGGAGGTGCTATTTTCAGGTCCGTCTAGATCTCTGATAGGAAAAGTTAGTGGATCACTGGATCCGTCCGCGTCCCTGAAGTGAAACAAATGTTACTATCTTGCAAATGTTAACCATTTTATTTCGATTAGAATCGAATTTAACATACTTAAACTTGATATGATGCAATAATGAGGTACGTGTAAAAATCAAGGGTATCCCTCGAGCCAGTTCAGCTTGTGTAATATAACAAAATAAATAGGGAAAAATAAGGGAGAGTACCTGGTGCCATGCTGTGTCCACAGAAGCGCTGAGGATAAATTCAGTGAGCATTAGTTGGAAAGGATTGTCATCAGTTACTGTGTGAGTTAGTGTTGTGGTGGACGAAAGGATAAGCCGCTGATCAGGGATATAGGCCCCTCCTCACGAACTCTCTGCTGTGTTGGCGCAACGAGTGAGACTTTGGGGTGGTCAAAAGATGTGATGGCCCCGTCAAGTCTTGGTGAAACTCAACATAGGTCAGATAGGTAGAAAACAATGCCATTGGAAAACTCTATCCAATGCAATAGTCACATTATAGTCATTTCTAGAAAAAAAAAAACCTGGTTAATGTTGTTTAATGTGAGAGAATAAGATAAAAGAGTCGACCAATTTTTGTCAGTGTAAATATTGTCAAACAGCGGGCTCCAAAATCGTCTAGGGGGAAAGAGCCCTGAATATCAGCTATCTGCCTTAGTACCTTGGCTCTAAAGTCTAAATTATGCAGCGATGACGACATAAAAAGTCGCTGTATCATGGCAAATCTTGCTTTGTCAGAACTAAAAGAAGGTTTAGGAGCAAAGTAAATATCAGACTTAAGATATGAAAGCACAGAAAGACTGAGTCAAATGTACAATTGTAGCTGCTGTCAGCTATTCTGCATCAAATAAAATATTAAGGGGCCATCTACTTAGGACGTCCAGCAAAAAGGGAGGGGGAGGTGGTTTTGGAATTTCGGACAAATCCGGACAGTGATAGGAAGTGGTTTCTGAAAATCCGGACGTCCGGAAATTTTGGCAGAATTAACGAAAAAGTCGCATTTATTTCAACTCTTTGACACTAATTACTCAGTAAGTTTAGATCCCTGTATTTTGAACGAGAAGTCGTTTCCCAGAGCAGCTCATGAGAGCCGAGACACAACTCGCATATTCTGCTACTGCCTTAAAACTTATTCCATTGGATGGCTACCTACTTAAGTACCTTAATGTAACTGTGCTAAACTTGTTCGACACTAAATGTATTATTGTCTATTCTAAGTGACTACACATTTTATTAACAATGAATTTGAGTTGGTTTTATTTGTACTCTTTAAAGTAGCTGGAAATCCGGACGTCCGGGGGAGGGGGTTTGAAAATTCGGACACACCCGGACAGGGGGAGGGGGTGCTCCCCGGGGCCGGTCTGAAAATCTGCAATTTTGACGGACGTCCCAAGTAGATGGCCCCTAAAGTCTAAACAAAAGTTCTCAAAACGTACACAACGAGAGAGTGTCGACCTACATGTCAATGAAACAGACTGTTTCACTGTTTGAGACAACACGTGTGTTTGCGCGCAATTCTGGAATAATCCGAGAGATGAACTGTAGCGAGTGTAACTTTAGTGTGCAGATGAGTGTGTACTTCGATGTATACTATTTCTGCACGTACAGGATCCTTTGTAAGGGGTCATTCACATATTTAGTTATCACTCACTTTGCTAACCAATACAGCAATACTGGGGTAGGTTCACTGATAGTGTTTCTCAGAGATATAGATGGCTGTAAATTATGCTAATAAATATATAAAAATAAATATGGTCAAATGTTAAACAATGAGATGATTTAAGAGAAGCAAATATTAGTGGACTGAAATTATAATCTGATAAAGTGCAGCTGTGAACTCAAATGTATAAAACAAACTCACAATTCGGATCGAACAGTTTAAAATGAAACACAATAAGACAGAGTAATTGGTAAAATGTTAAACAATAAGCTGTTTTAAGACAAGAAAATATTAGTCGACTGAAATTATGATCTGATAAAGTGCAATGTGAACTCAAATGTATAAAACAACAGATCGAACAGTATACAATAGTACATTTAACAAATGTACTATTGCAAATGACAAAAGTGTAATAAGGTAACTGGTAACAAGTCTGCTGGTTATTCAAAATTTAACATTAAAATATGTCCCGGCCCTTTGAATCATCCGCCGAATGATCAACTGAATGATTGCAACAGACAAAGAAACAAGCAAAATTTGTTAAATGGAGTGCATGATCAAAGAAGGTATATTAGCTCCCTACAAAAATCTAATCCAATGAGAAAATAAATCTAAAGTCCAATTGCAAATGACAAAAGTGTAGTAAGGTAACTGCAGGTAACAAGTCTGCTGGTTATTGAGAATTTAACATTAAAATATGTCCCGGCCCTTTGAATCATCCGCCGAATGATCAACTGAATGATTGAAACAAACAAAGGAACAAGCAAAATTTGTTAAATGGAGTGCATGATCAAAGAAGGTATATTAGCTCCCTACAAAAATCTAATCCAATGAAAAAATAAATCCAAAGTCCAATTGCAAATGACAAAAGTGTAGTAAGGTAACTGCAGGTAACAAGTCTGCTGGTTATTGAGAATTTAACATTAAAATATGTCCCGGCCCTTTGAATCATCCGCCGAATGATCAACCGAATGATTGCAACAGACAAAGAAACAAGCAAAATTTGTTAAATGGAGTGCATGATCAAAGAAGGTATATTAGCTCCCTACAAAAATCTAATCCAATGAGAAAATAAATCTAAAGTCCAATTGCAAAAGACAAAAGTGTAGCAAGGTAACTGCAGGTAACAAGTCTGCTGGTTATTGAGAATTTAACATTAAAATATGTCCCGGCCCTTTGAATCATCCGCCGAATGATCAACCGAATGATTGCAACAGACAAAGAAACAAGCAAAATTTGTTAAATGGAGTGCATGATCAAAGAAGGTATATTAGCTCCCTACAAAAATCTAATCCAATGAGAAAATAAATCCAAAGTCCAATTGCAAAAGACAAAAGTGCAGTAAGGTAACTGCAGGTAACAAGTCTGCTGGTTATTGAGAATTTAACATTAAAATATGTCCCGGCCCTTTGAATCATCCGCCGAATGATCAAATGAATGATTGCAACAAACAAAGGAACAAGCAAAATTTGTTCAGAATAAAACAAATATTCAGAATAAAACAAATAATATATTCAAATCTCTTTATTCAACAATATTAAATCATTATAGAACCTAATTTGTGGCTTGATCGTTATGTTAGGGCTATTCTGTTAGCTGATGCTGACAGGCACTGCATGGGGCAGAGACTTAGGACCATTACGCTGGAGGCTTACAATGACCCTTTTTGAACCCCATGGCAGTGCTAGTTTTATTATGGTACAAATTGTAAATCGAAGTTATGAAAACGATCAAGTCACTCCTGTTTTACACTATCAACAGCTACTTAAAACAACCTAGATTGTACAACTCACTTTGAAGATTAAACTGTTAAGTGATGAGTGATTGGGCTCATTAAACATTTTAGTAGCGGAGACATGCGGATCAGCTTCTTGAGGTTCTAATAGTTCATTCAGACAAGAAGTTTTACTTTTTCAAATTTAGTTGTTCAAGCTGCCTGAGTTCAGAAAGTTTGCCAAAGGGGCCCAGGTATTCTTGTCACCTTTACCCTGAGACGAGAGAATGACTTTTTTTACCTTTGATTTGAATACACCATGAGTGATTTCAAGGTCGTTCAGTGCCAACATCTGACGGAATGAATTCCAAAGGCAACTAGATTTGTAAACGAAACTGTTTGAGGGCATGGTTGTTATAAGAAGAGTTTCTTTGCCGGGTCTTTTAGACAAACAGAAAAGTTCAAATAGTGCAATTGGTGTTCGATACTTAAAGACTTTAAAAAGTTCATTGCAGCAGTGATACGCGTATAAATTATGCAATGTCATGAGTGATTGACGGGCAAAAATTGGCTTGGTGTGCTCTCTCTCAAAGAATTTGCTAGTAAGTTTCTGTTCACTGATGGGTCTAGTCCTAGCACATGTCATAAATTTATCAAGGTATGCTTTTTTGTCACCAAACATGATACGAACACACTTTTTCTGGGCTACAAATAGTGGTTGAAGTTTATTATTACTTGCACCTCCCCAAACGGTAATGCCATAAGATAGGTGACTTTCAAACAGTGTGTGGTACAGGTCCTTATGGATAGATGATGGAATTTTATCCTTAATCATGTATAGCCTCCCAGAACAGGACGAGAGTTTTCTAACTAGTTTGTCTCTATAGGGATTGAAAGTTAGGCCTTCGTCGACAATTACTCCCAGGAATTTCGTTTCCTGCACCTTTGAGAGAGGTAGGCCATTGAGGTAAAGTCTATTTTCAATTAATAAAGATTGATCATCAAGTTTTCTTTTAGCTGTATTGAATTCTATATAGCAACTTTTCTTGGCGTTAACATGTAATTTATTAGCCAATGTGTACTCGTGGACTGATCGTAGGACCCTATTAGCATTATTGTAGGCCTCTGCTCTAGTTTTGGCAACTACAAATATGTTTGTATCATCAGCAAATAAGACATAGCTAGTGTTATCGAGTTGAGAGTTTGTTAAGTCATTTATGTATATTAAAAACAGGAGAGGCCCAAGGCAGCTCCCCTGTGGAATGGAGTGCATGATCAAAGAAGGTATATTAGCTCCCTACAAAAATCTAATCCAATGAGAAAATAAATCCAAAGTCCAATTGCAAAAGACAAAAGTGTAGCAAGGTAACTGCATGGGTAACAAGTCTGCTGGTTATTGAGAATTTAACATTAAAATATGTCCCGGCCCTTTGGAGCATCCGCCGAATGATCAACCGAATGATTGCAACAGACAAAGAAACAAGCAAAATTTGTTAAATGGAGTGCATGATCAAAGAAGGTATATTAGCTCCCTACAAAAATCTAATCCAATGAGAAAATAAATCTTAAGTCCAATTGCAAATGACAAAAGTGTAGCAAGGTAACTGGTAACAAGTCTGCTGGTTATTG